GTACGCTTATTTTGTGGCATTATCATTACATAATCGAGTCATCGCAATTCTGAACTTTTAGCCAGAGGAAAGGGTGGCTCAATGCCGACAGTATCATGTCATAAATTGTAGTGTTTCGAACATTATCCGGACTCTTCACGCTACCAATCCACTGAAGAAACATCATTTCTTGCGCTTGTATTTGGGATCGAATCGAACACTTTTACTCAATATCAAGTATTCTTCACCATACGTTATGACATATGCATATGCGGGCTTGAAGAAGGAACTATTACACTTCCGGTGAGAGACGTTTGACTCACCACTTAATGATTTCTTTCCCTCATTTCTGCGCTTGCTTGGGAAAACCATGTGATCTTGCCTACCATCGCTAGTAACGCTAACCCGCAAATGCTCATCAGCAACCTAAATCTCTCTATCTGCTTCAGCTGTACTCAATTTACTGTAGAGCGCAATGGATCGTGCCTTTTTCAGCAGCACAAAATATCCTGTTTTGATCTGGCTGATTTTCATTCCGGCCTCTGAATGTAGCATCGAAGAAGGATTGGATTGGAAAAAGTAAAGTTCTTTACAGTTGGAATGTCGACCACCCACCTCCCCCCCAACGCTTCCATGGTGTGCACTGTTTTTAATACCATTCTTTTGTGAAGCATATGATCCAGCGCGGATATCCATTTCTTTCTCATCAGACAGAAATGCCTTCATTTTTGAACACAGTGTTTAACGTCCCGTTGGAAAGTATGTCACTTGATCTTCTGTTTTTCCCACAAATTAATACCAGTTTATCTACCTCATATCTGACCAGAGCTTGACTTACAGGCCTGCAGACTAGAGCCCAGTGCTCTCGCGATTGAGCAACGCCTCATCGAATCGATCGACGGCACAATGAGGGTCATCATTCGACGAAAATTGCAGGTCGAGTTCATTCGAAACTGCAAATGACTCAGTCGAGCTCTTTCAACGTGGCGGTCTCTGCACGTTTATGTTTTTTTCCACAAAATTTCGTAAAGAGATTTTAATACCTCGAATAACAGGAAGGTCATTTTAGGTCAGATTGCTGTTCTCGGGTCGAAAGGAGCAAAATAATCTGTTATTGTCATCGAATGAATAGCATCCACCCTTACTGTATTCTTTCATCAGGGTACTAGTTTTAGACGTGAGATATCTGGCGTAAATTCATGCTGAAATAGCTAGCGATCATTTAATTATTTCCTCTGTTCGCGCTATAAACCTTCTGGAATTCGGATATTCAAATTCGACGTTTTCTCAGTCAGTCTGCGATAGCAAAACTTACATGACGTGCGAACTAAACGCAATGCAAGCAGCAACAGACCAACGCGAGTGCATACCTCTTCAGTCATTTCTGAGGCGCTGTGAAGCGACAACGCTGAACTCATTTGTCTGAAATCATTCATCAAAACACTCGTTAATCCAGCAACGAATATATTTCTTCACTCAGACATCTGCCGGTACTCGGCAACGAATCGCGCCGGCCGCAACAAACCCTCCATTCCTCGCTGTTTAGACCCTATTATCTCCAAATGCCGAATTCCTGGCTCCTGATATAATCTTCCCACCCTTCTGCTGGCAACAAAACGGCCTTGTCCACCCGCGAGGGTATCAGTCAACGATCATCTCCAGTCTGTGAGCCCAGCAACGTGCCTCGCAGTTTCCTCTTTCTGCTTCTGACGACGACTTACTTCACTCCCGTCCTCTGTCTGATTATCGTTAGACTCCTCATATTCTTCTTTCCGTAGTTACGTCACTGACAGATGTCTGGTGTAATGCGGCACTACGTCGCAAAGACATTCGAGATCCCCGGCAGGACGGTAGAATTGAGTGGGTGGGCGACTTGTCTTTCCTGATACAGTCGAGGAGGATGCCCTTGATGGAATGGAACTCGTACCAGCTGACTCTTTTCTCCGTTGAATCTCTCCAATGGCACATACTCAGAAAAGCATACGACACTGCAACAAGTTTCTGGGCCCGCATGCAAACGAGGATTAGAAGTAATTTTAAAGGGGTCTGACTTTATGGCATTTCAAAACAAGACATTGCGCATAGTGTTTGGATTGAACTCAGCCATATCCGTTGCAAAATATGTCGCATACTTTATTTTGCTTTCCAAATAATATTGCAAAACTTCTTTTCCTTCATCCGTAATCATTGATAATTCTTCTCACCTTTCACCTTCATTTTGCATGACCGCTTCTCCTTTCGGGTCACGGAGGCAGACGCGTCAGACAATGCTTCCAACCTCATTGCTCCTCACCTTTCAAACTGAACTTTTTCGAACTTGACTCATTCAAAGTCACAGATATGAAATAATTTCATATACTTTTCATTTATTTTCAGCGGATTAAACAGTGAACTCTACGTAGTTCAAAGCACATCATACACTACAACCATTAATTTCTTAACGTTATTACCGCATATCAGAGCAACATGCTGGTCCAATTGTCTCAGGGTTTTTGAATTACCCATAATTTGTATAGCTACATCAGGAAAGGCGGCGTGAAGGTAGCTTAATAACTTAATAACGAAGCTTCTGCTCACCAATGATTTGAACCTGTGCTTATACTGACCAGAGTTGAACAGCTCACTGTTTGGAAAATGAACAAATGTAAATAAATGATGTGTAGATGAACTGAGCCGTTTCCGGTATCAATGCCCGATAAGAAAGCAGGACAAAGGGGGGGGGCGTGAGGAGGTCTCTCGTGAAATTCAACCACGTGTTAATCATGCTACTACCGTCATTCAACGCTATACCTTCAAGATCATCGCCCCGATTGCCAAGTGTCCCACAGGTTGTTGGATAACTGACGCAGACAACAACACTCTGAGATCGAAACCTGCTTTGCATCTTTTGGCTGATCAGTGCATAGAAGCATGACCACTGGTGCAGAAGATCGACAAGAAAAGACGAAGATGCCAGCCACCAATAAAGCCGCTACCCGTTCTAAACGGAACAGGCAGATAGTGATGTCATTACATCAGTCCGATAACGTTACACGGGAGGACACCGGCACTGGGAGCTCACAGTCGCTATCACATCACTCAAAGGAAAAGAGAAGGAGCTAGTTGATGAGGCTACATGGCACCGAGTGCACAGACTCATCAACGAAGAGCCAAAGCTCTGGATTTTGAATATCTGCTGATGGAGGCTGTTCTACTCAGGTGTAAGCTCCTAGATTCGAGTTCATAGCAGTATTGGTGTTCTGGTAGAACCCAAGTAGGCTGACAGAATTATTGAATAGAAGCCTGTCAGCGGAACAGTAGCATTCAGTTCAATCATCCGGCTAAAGCTACAACAGCAGATGAAGTTCTTTAAAGTTCTGATATGTTAATGCCCCCAATATGGAGGGGGAATATGAGTTTATCCGCGAGGAAGTAGAAGGTACTCTATACGATATGCGGACTACGGAGTCCCTCATTCTATTGTTCGATTTCAATGCGAATGTTGGAATAGACAGGATTAACTGGAAAGACGTGATTGGAAAGGAGGGCCCTAGTGACGTCAGCAATGACGGCATGTAGTTGTTGCGGGTTTTTGGCAAACAATAGACAGCCTGATATGAAAACTTCGTTCGAGCATGGAAGCTTGCATCCGTATACCTAGTATAGGGAAGTTCGTGAAAAAAAATCAATGATTGATTTGATTATCGTATCACCTGAGTTGCGACGCTCGGTAATGGATGCTGGAGTTAAGAACAACGCAAGCATATCAACTTGCTGATCAGACGCTTCCCAATAAATGGTGGAATACCATATGAACAGCTGGCGGCACAAGCAACCGGCGTGTCAAACGGGAAACATTATCTTCTGCGAATGCGAGGGAAAAACCTGTAAAAAGCATCTTACGGCGGTTAAAACCAATCCAAGCGATGATCACTGAGGTGGAAACCGACAGTAAGGTTTTTAGGAACGGCTTAATCGGGGCTGCTGTTCAAAAGTGGTTGCCATGCCGCCTGGAAGTCACAAGCTAACTTCCTGCTGAGCCTCAGAGGTGCAATAGGACGTCAGCGAGATGCTAGCTGCATCCAGAAAGTGACTTTGAAGCAAAAAGCCTTAAACTCGAATGCCGTATGAAGAAGCGCGAAAGGCGACAGGCGAAAGCAGTGATCAATGCGAAAGCTGACTCTTAGGAAAGTTAGGTGAAGACCTGCAATCGAATTTCTATACGACAAACAAGGAACTCTGACAGACCATCCGCCTCCTCCAAAATGCAAAAAACGGTAGTGAGAAATTGGTGAAGCATAAGTGAGGATTCGTTCTTGCCGAGAGAACTTCCAGAAACTCATTTACTCGGAACAACAGCAAGAAGACTCGCCTGAGGAGTAACAGAGAAAGCATATTTGTCATTCAGTAGATGAAGTTAACTGAGAAAAGCTTGGAAAGTATTAAGGCGGCTGAAACCGATGAAGCCTCCCCTGAAATTCTTAAGATTTCAGGCGAGCAAGGCATGCTGTCATTAAAGGTCATACTTCAATGGCTATTGGGAAATCATCAGGGAGTTTTATTACTCCTGTGCACGAGGAGAAACCATACGGAGTGCTCTAATTATCCTGACATTATTTTATTTAACCTCCAAGAAAAAGCCTACGCAGAGGCGTTGCAAAGAAGGTACCACGATGTGATGCATCTTGCTGTGACTAAAGCAGAGCTGAGTCTGAAGACTAAGATTCCCGTATTCAAGTCGATCTTTATTCCATTCTTACCAACGGGCATGAGTCGTGGATCATGACTGAAAAACAACGAACGCGAGTACAAACGGCTGAAATGGACTTTCTGAGACCAGTCTGTGGTCTCGTCTCGTCATAGGCAGGGAACAGAAATCCGAGATTTGGTGTGTAGCCACTGCTTCTACAGACTGAGAAGTCACAGCTGCGATGGTTTGGCAATGTGTTGCGAATGCCTCCAGAAAGGAAGGCTAAGCAACTGTTCCTTGTAAATCCGACGGGCAAAAGGCCCAGGGGACGGCCAAGATTAACCTGGTACAAATGTATGGAAGAAGTCTCTTCCAGACTCCAGTTCTCTTTTGTCGAAGCTCAGACTCTGACACAGGATCGGGAACGTTGAAAGCTGTGTCTGAAGCGTCTGCCTCCGCCACCCGAAAGGGTAAGCGGTCATCGATACTGATTGATTGATTGGTACATATGTTCTAAAGTTGATAGCGGATTTAGTTTAAAATTGCAATAAGTTTCGTGAAGTCAATGTTCCTGATTGATTGATTTGTCGACCAAAAACGAAGCGGGAGGGTTTATTAATGTCGACATGTCGAAAGCAAATTTGTTCATCATCAGGGCATTCGGGATTCGGGTGATAAGTTTAGACGGTTGTGTGCTGCCACCCCTTGGCAATAATATTTAAAAATGACCTATATCTAACGAAGTGCTCAAATTCTCTCAGTCCCTTGAGCAAGATGGTAGTTTGGAAGATGGCCTCATCTACGCCATTCTGAACCGTCATTGCAAGAGTTAACCACATGCTGGTTGACGCTCAGGTTTCCTGTCATTGACAATGTATGTGTCTTCCTGCAGTTGATTATCGTATGTCACTCTGTTGCGCGGTCATCGAGCACAAGAAGGTGTTCAATTCGTTCGAATTGATGCCTGCGCTGAATCATGCACCATCCTGGCATGAATGCTGTTTTCTTCTGCCCGATCGATGATTTAAAGACCTGAGGAACGACTGACCTCAAGCTTCTCAACGTGCCATTTCGACCAGTATCATTTCGAACCGTATCCATCGAGGAGTATGCGGTAGAAATGCCAATATACCGGCGCTCTTGGTCACTTCCTTGAAAGAACTAGAAATAAATAGATGTTGGGGTTACTCCTTCAGCTGATTATTATGTAGGATAACGACCGTGCGATCTGTTGATGTCAACGAGTTTAAGCGCGAGGAATTACAGATTTACTTACATTGGAAGTCAACAAGAGAATGAAAACGCGCCATGAAACACTTTTAAAAGAAGCACTAAAAATGCTCCTCTTTGGGAAACTGTTGGGATTGAAACTAAAGGCATTCGATCAATGTGTGCTGCCTGTATTAACTTATCGGAGTGAGACTAAGCTCCTAATCCTGAAGGCTATTCATAATCCGCAGACATTGCAACGCTGCATGTAAAGATGTATTTTGGGGAAAAATAGGAAGACGAATGAACGGACAAGAGCACAAGCAAAAATCTTCTATATCACTTCACAGGTGAAGAAGCTCAAATGGAAATGTACATTATATGCTGGAAGACCAACCGACCATCGATGGCTCAGAGAAACTGGGTTTGAAGAGAGAGAGGGAGGGAGGGAGAGAGAGTAAATAACCCATCCAGAAAGCCTCCAATCGATGGCAGGATCAGCGGAGAAAGTTTGTTTGACTGCGATGGATGAAAACGGCAGAAAAGAGAAGTCTACAGCAAAGCCTTGGAGAGGCTTTCATGCAATAGTGGATCGACACCGGCTGACGATGAAGAGTCAACTATTTGCTAAGTCAAGACGACAAAGGACATTCGCATCAGGCAGATGGCCAGATACCTGATCCAGCCTGGCTATTCCAGACCAGAATACCATTTTTCGCAAGTTCCCGACTTATCACCTTTTTCTCAGGTAGCTCTGTTGAAAAATTGTTTTTTGAAAAGAACTGGCAGTAAATACAAATATTATCTCTTGAGGGGATTAGAACCCAGCACCTCGGCAGTTCCAAATTGGCTCCTTCAGCACTCTTCCACCACACCCCAACGTGGAGCTGCAATTCAACCGGTATTATTGATTGAGAGCAGCCAGCATATTTGCTATTTGCGGGAACTACATCGTCTTCGCACAAACCACGATGCACCTCCAATGGAAGATCCAGCAGTTGCAAGAAGAATCTCACACCATCGGATGAAGGTTAATCTGTCTAAGGCGAAATAACCTTGCAAAGCTAAGAGTGCCTCGAGGTCTTTGTCTGTGCGAATGGCTAATATCTCTAAGAAGTACTGGTTACGTGCACCACGAACCACATGAACTCGTAAGACGGTGAAATTATCAGAGGAAGGAAGTCGACATTGAACATCGTTACTCGACTGTAACGGAGGAGGGGAGCTGTTCCATTCAGCAGTCATACTGGATCCAAGGCAGCGAATGTTGGTCTGCCACTGAAGTTGAGAAGAGCATACCAACAGTTGCTGAAAGGGCGATGGAGGAAAGAGTTTGCAACGTCTCCCTCCAAGGGCACATTCAAAGTAATAAAATTCGACAACGGGATGAATTAACATTTGCCATTTCTCCCTGCTGCCGACCAGGTGGCTCGGATGAGAGACAATCGGTTGGTGCCAAGAACTACAAGCTGAGTTCCGCTGGAGCACAAACGCTCACTCGGTCGTCGAGGAGCACACTGGAACGACCGATGGCCAAATCATTTGGCCAGCGGTAAGACAAAGGCAAAAACAAAAAATGTGGTGATCAGAAGTACATATTTTCAGCTGTTACGTATAACTTCAAAAGCATTTGCCTATAAAAGATTCTGAAGCACCGTTGCTACGCTTTGCAATATTGGTGCTACAAGTGACTTGTATGTTAAGTATCAATGAATTATTCGTGAAAAGCTTTTTCTGGTGAATATTATGACATATCAGAATTAATGACAGAATCAGATACAGCGGGTGACCGACTTATGATAAATCTTTAGCAGACGCTTTACCAAGTGCATCTATATATGCGGTAGATTTTCGTCACTTGACGAGCATTCATATGTTCTACTTCATCGACGCATGCCATTTTTAAAGAACCATAACTTACATAAACGATTCAGTTTAGCATTACAGTTAATACTAAATAATTTGCCATGAATCCAACTTCTAGTTACCAAAGAAATTAACCATAAATTCTATTTCCTATGTAGCAGCTATTACAGAAGTACAGGTTTGTCTGTTATGCATTATCGTGCATATTGGAAGGGCACTTCAGATGCAAATCAAAGAGGAGTGGTTGAGTTCAATGTAACTAGGTGTAGTCTTCTCGTTCAGCAACCGACCTTGTTAAAGGGAAATGATAGCCCACCAGTTAGATCGACAAAATGATCCACCTGATATCTGTTGCGGCATCCAGAAATCTATAAAAGTCAGCACGATTTATGCCACTTAGAGCACGTGATGTTGTACAATTGAACATGTTATCTTACTGTACATGCAACACAATAAGAATCGATGATTTTACTGTATGATGTTAGGCGGCTGAATTTCTTTTTGTAGAGTGTCTGGCAAGAAATATGTAGTTGAACTCGCTCATTGCAGAATGTGGAATCATCTAGATGATAAGCTTAAGAAAATCTTGCAGATGATCAGAAATTTTTATTTGAGGGCCATATAGGCTTTCATGTCTTGAGGTTGTATATGAGGATTGAAGGAAACGAGC